CAGTACAGCCCACCGTGCCTTATAATTTAACCTACCTATCTATCTACCTACCTACCTACCTAACTAACTAACCTTAGCTACCTACCTTGCTGGTTCCCCAGTGTGCTGGCCACACCGTGCGCTGTAGTCACCACTTCTAGGAACTCCGAGCTCATGTCCACAGCCAGGATATCCTGTGCACCGGGCCATCAGGTAGTTAGATAGGAAATTAGGTTATGGTAGGCAGTTAGGTTAGGATAGATAGGTAGGTAGGTAGGTAGATAGATAGGTAGGTTAAATTATAAGGCAGGTGGGCTGTACTGTTACCTCCAGGGCCTGCGGCTGCATTCAAACGTGCCGTGGCGCGGACTGCGACCAAAGTATCTATAGGACGTACATACGGACATACGCGCACATGTGTAGCATTATGCTGCCACAAGAGCGCATCCGCTTACGAGGTGTGCCTCGTAACGTATCTTTACACGCCACATGCCCTATGTTTCCTGGGATTGTGTCGAGTCGTTGTACATACCCAAACCCCCACAGACGCTCACAGATCACCCCCCATGCGGTGGATTGGGGATCGGAGGTCCAATTAGAAGCGTTAGGCAAGCGTTTCTCAGCCTGCCTGTATACCTGTCTGCCTGCCTGTCGGTCCTCTCCCCTCCATCTCTGCGGCGACGGGATTGTTGCTGCAGGTGTTCGTGTGTGGCGGGGGGACTTTACGGAGCTACCCGCTTACATGGGCCCCGCCGAGGTGGTGGTTTTCACGGATGAGCCATTTGGAACGGCACTGGCACCCAGGTACGAGCAGGTTGGGATGATGTGATGGTCAGGTGGGGGTGTGTGGGGTGTTTGGATGGGTTGTGGAGAGGGCCGCCTCTTCATGTACTGAGGGGTTTTCTCAATGGTTCGGTTAAATGGCCATCGCTGGCCTTGGGATGTTGAGGAGGATTGGCGGGGGGAACTGTCCAGCTCTGTTCAGTTCCACTGTGGAGTTATCGCCGCGCCATCCGGCTTTTGCGGGTGCTGCTTTTGCGGATGCTGCTGCTGGCGCATTGCTGCCTCCTGCCCTATCCGCACACCTCCCAGGGATGCGCTCGTTAAGGCCTGCCTGACCACCCAGCCAGGAGGCTGTATCATTATCAACTCTGAAGCGGAGAACCGCCGTTGGCAGGTGTGTGTGTGTGTGTAAGGGGGGGGAGCCGGGGGAAAAGGAGAGGCAGGGGGAGGAGATTTTCCGGACGAAAACTCTTGGCGGGTGGACAGACAGAGACTGGCAGACGGACTGGCGATCACACAGTCGGTTTGAACAGTCAGTGTAGAGACCGCCTTCTGCACGTCCTTTTCCATCCAAGGTCCGCCTGCAACTCCTTTCCTGGATCAGGTCCTTGTCCATCTCTTGGAACCCTTTCCGCACCCGCGTTCCCCAACCCCCACCTCCCGGTATCTTGATGTCACTTTCCTAGGTATCCCATTCCTAAGCGTGTTCTCATTCCCCTCTTGTGACTTTTGCAAGTAAACCCCCTAAGTAATAGCCCCCCTGCGGCGCCCACCCTCGGCAGCCCAAGTACCCGCCCACTCGCGACGCCCTGGCGGCCCTGGTTTCGGGGCTGCCAGTGAACATCCACAGCGAGCAAGAAGTCTCTAACGGCTACTGCGGCATCCTGCAGGTGGGGCAGCGGGACAGCGGAGGGGTGGGCAGGGGGGGGGGCAACTAGGGGACAGCCGAATTAGGGAGCTGGGGGTACGATGAAGCACCGACTATAGGCGAGACTAAGGAAATCCCATAGACGGAAACTCCAATGTAAGGTAAGACCAATACTGAAGGAGACAAAGTAAGATACTGGCCTGTATTGACCCCTAAGTTTGTAGTCATCGCGGAGGTGGGAGCCGTGGAGGGGTATCTTCGCTGTTTGTTTGTTATCTAATGGTTACAGACGTGCAATGGACCCTGACCCCGACCCTGAAGGCGAAGGAAAGGAAGAGAACGGAAAGAATCGTTGTTGACCCTTCCTCTGCTTCTTCTTCTTGCACGCCTGAGTTCCCATGCTTGGGTATCGGTGCAGCTGGTTCTTTGAGCCGCCTGCACATACCTGCTGTCTAACTCCCCCTTTTTTTCCCCTCCCGACGGTTGGCAGGTGCCGCCTAACTACCGGTTGCGCTCGCCTGTGTCGTTGGGCGGTACTGTCGTACGCGGGTTTGGCCGGGGGAGCCGCCAACTGGGTACCCCCACTGCCAACATCGACCCCGCACCGCTTAGGAGGACCCTGGGGGGCATGCCCCCCGGGGTGTACTTTGGGTGAGAGGGAGAACAGGATGTGTGGAGAGCCAGCGCAGGGCCCGGGGGGCTGGGGTCAGTGAGGGGCTGTTGTGTGTACGGTGTTGAAGGAAGAGGAGGAAGGAGGGAGAGTAGAGGGGGAGTAGGAGAGAAAGAGGAGGAGGGATCAGAAGAGGGGTCCGCCCCCAGGAGGTGGGCTTTAAGGGGGGTTGGGAAAAGTCGAATGGACTCGGGGAAGAGGTTGGGATCTCTGGGGGGGAAAGGGGGAAGGGCGACCGTGTCGGTCAGCGGAAGTGGTATGGAAGTGCGCCAGACAGACAGACAGACAGATAGAGACCGATAGCACCCGGCGGGGTTACGCTGGAGCTGTGTCTGATCGTCTATAGACACATCCGGGAGGGCGGATGCGGGTGTGGGTCCGCCCACACGGAGCACAGCCCCGCAAAACCAAGTGGTGGCCATCACGTTTGACGCGCCTCCACACACACAAATCGGCGCCTTCGTAACACCCCCAAGAAACGTGGCCCTCTAAACAAACGGCCACAACATGTGTTTGTAACGCGCTGTTGCGCTCCCACGTATCTTTCACTCTCGCAATACCCAACACAAGTAGTATTGCCCTGTGTGTTGTGTGGACCTCCCTATACGCGTATCTCTCTCCAACACGCTCGGACGGAGTGCCTCGTCGGCTGTTGAATCTTTAGGTCTTGCATCTGATCCCGCCTTTCTTTCCCCGCAGGTGGGCCAAGTTGGAGGCCCCGGTGGGCTGGCCGGCTGGGGACTCCAATGTGCACAAGGTGAGAGGCCCTGGTGCGGCGGCTGGGACTTGGGACTTGGTTTCGGGGCAGAGGCGTCGGCAGCCAGTGCTGGTACTGGTACTGGTACTGGTACTGATAGTTGTTGGATGAGAGTGTGTGGAGGGGGGGAGAGGAGACCGTACAGCTGGGTGGCGCTACTTCGGGGCACTCTGAGCCCGCGTGACACACGGTTTCACTTCTCTCCGTACACGGGAGGTTTGGGGTACGTGGCTAGTGGGATGGTAATGCAGGGGAGAAGTTGGGATGGACAACCCCGAACTCAACCACCGACCACAGACCAGACGTACTTCCCTGTAACGCCTTTCTCGCCCCGCTCTCTCTCGCCCCGCTCTCCCTGGGCCCATTTCACCACACCACTTCCCTGCCGGGCCCCCTTGCGCCATGATGCCCGTAGCTTTCCTCCTTACCCGCTGCTTTTCTCCCTCGCTTCTACTAACCAACGAACTATCTATCCACCTCCACCTCCATACAACTCCCCCCAGGCGGTTCTCAACATAGGCTCCCGGCCCACAGTCAATAAGGGCGGTGAGGCGCCCTCTGTGGAGGTGCACATACTTCACGAGTTTCAGGGCGGAGAGGAGTTTTACGGGAGTCACCTAGAGGTGCGGGTTCGGGTGTGTGTGTTTGAGTGTTTGTGTGTGTGTGGGGAGTTTAGGCGCCAGGTGGGTATATGCAAGAAGCAAAGAGTAATGCTGCATTACTCTAGGGTTGGCAAAAATACTATATTTATTTTCCCAAGTAGTATAGTATAGTAAGAAATAGTACTATATATAGTAATATAGTACTATGATACTATTACTAGGCAGGTACACGCTCCCTGTAGAAGGGGGGTTTACGACCAACCGTTGTACCTGAAAATTACACCGTTGGAAAGGTCTTCTTTTGTTCTTTCTAAATATCTACTTAGACATGAGAAAGCAGATCGCTGTGGTCATCCAGATCACTTTTTGTTAGTTCAGTGCCCGGTAGGTGGACCCCAAACCCCATGTCTGAAGGCGTGTTATGGCACATAAAGACATAATCACAGATAGAAGACCCAGTGTTGACAAGACAACACACGGACACCATACTAGTGAAGTTCCTGCACTACAACGGCCCAGTACGTAACCCTCCAATTCAGCAAACTGCCGCAGCTCAATCTATCGTTGCTCAGTCATCAATCTGCGTGTTGTTGCTGGCTGAGTGACGCTGCACGCTGTTTGATAGCCTTGCAAGCACCTTGCTTGATGTGGTGCGCGTTGGCAAAGGATGGGTTCGCGGCGCTGAGCGGCTCATCGCAGAACAGGCAGACTAGCTTTGGTAGACCACCCCACCACTCCACATCGAAGTTGTCCCAAAGACTACCCGTCTTGGCGTTCTTTTTCTGGTTACGTAGCTTGTTAAAAAGCTCGTTCCGAGAACGGAGAACTTCAGGGGGGACGTCTGGACCAGGATGCAAGCCTCTGATCGCCTTGTCATTCTTTATACTGGATTCCTTTGACATTATTCATCAATAACTACGTAGAACAGCTCGAAGACGCGGCTATAGCCCTTCAAAATACAGCTTGACTGCAGATCTCGACTTGGTCCAACTAGTACTGGACACTATCCAAACCCAAATCTAGTACTATCTAGTACTATTTTTACTATACTATTTCACTATGTACGAACGCGGTACGAGCGTCGTAAACTAGTACCAGTTTAGAGCCCTGCATAGTAAATAGTACTATGCATAGTACTATTATAGTATAGTACTCTCTTCTAGTATAGTACCCGTGCCAACCCTAGTAATGCATGATGTGGACATGTGCTGTGTTGCGTTGCGGCTGCAGGTGCTGGTGGTGGGCTTCCTGCGGCCCGAGATCCGGTTCAGTGGGGTGGAGACGCTGCTGGCTCGCATCCGTACGGACACGGCAATTGCCAGGCTGCAGCTGGATACGCCGGAGCTACGGGCGGCGGCGGGAGTGCTGGAGATGGCCTCCGGGGGGGAGCTGTAAAGGAGCAGCAGTCCATCACTCCATCCGTTGCTGCGTTGACTGACAGAGGAGTGGACAGGAGTGGAGCGGAGCTGCGAGGAGGAAGAGGAGGAGGAGGGCTGGAGGTTGGCATTTGAGAGGGTCAAATGGCGCACGTGTGTGAGTGGTGCGTATCTGCAATCCTGGTAGTGGTAGTGGTGGTGAAGGTGATTGATTGCTGCGCTGAAATGCGTGGCGGGGAGGCCTTTTCGGTTTTCGGGCTTATTCCTCCTCCTGGTATGCGATGCGGCACGCCGTTGATGTGTGCTTGTGGTGATAATAGGAACGGCGGCGGTGGTGGTGACGGTGCTGACTATGGTGACGGTGGGGGGATGTCGGAATGGTAACGATGAGGATGTTAAGAGATGTATTCGTGCTTGCGTTGCAGTGTCATGTCCTGCGGTCTCATTGGGTTGTCGTACGTCTGTACGGCGGGCCACGCGTTTGGCCGGGGCGGCCCGGGGCAGTCCAAGTCCATTCTTGTCTTTGCTTGCTCGTTATAACATATACACACATTCACACGGTGACGCAAATCAGCCTCACGAGTGTTCATGAGGATGCTTTTTACATTAGCTGGGGTTCGTTAGCCAACGCCCCAGCGCCCCACCCCGCTGCGCTGGCTGCCGTCCCCAATCGCGTTGGCCTCCCTGCAATCCGTGGGTGGAGGGAGGGACGGTGTTGGTGTCTTTAGGATCTGTTGCCGCAGAATCTGTTCGTCTCCTTTTTCATACCCTCTCACCTCCCGGGTGACTGACTCGGGCTCACAACCTCAAGAAACCCTTGAGGGATGATTCCCTTAGCGCAACGGCGCCGTGCGGGGCAAATAACCAGGCCCGTTTCCAGGGCCAGGTCTTTCACCAGTAAAAGGTAAATCGCAAGGCGCGGTCCGCGACGGAGGGCATAGCTGCGGTGATGTTGCTGTGCGGCGTCTGACATGTGATGGCCAGCAATTACCCCGGTCGGTCAGGGGAAGGAGGAGGGGAAGGAGGAGGAGGAGGAGGAGGAGTATCAGCGCAGCGCACTGATGATGCCAGCGCACTGAATAGCTTTGCGCTTGGGGGAAGTAACGGTTGCAGTTTGGGTAGTGGTAAGAGATGTGCGTGGTGCAGTCGGCTTGGCAGGATCGTCGGTGGTGGGAGGAGGGTGACGGGGCTTTGTCTCCGTCGTCCTCTCTCCATATCCGTACGTACAGGGCATGGGATGGACGCATCGTGACCGTTCGTGGTGCTTAAGCGCACCTCAATGTTATGCGTCTCTGGAGGGAAACACTCTTGTACTTGGCCCCTGGTAGGGGGAGAGGAGGTAGAGGAGAGAAGCTCTATTAATCCTAGAGACAGAGGCTCCCTAAAGGTGTCATACAGCGCATAGGACGTCGCTTTTTTAGTAAGGAGCGGAGTGGAAACGGGTCTCTTCTTCATTGTTATATCCCCTTGAATTTCCCTCTTGTATATGTAGCGAAATGAGCAGCAGGCGCACTCGTGGTTTACACCGACGGCGGCCATTTGGATTCCCTTGTCACGTGGCGACCTAAATTCTCGACGGGACTTGAGGAGCCATATGTCCAGCCGCGGATGGAGTGTCCAGCGCTCCATTGATTGGGGTGGGAAGGGGGAGAGCGCGTGCTCAAGGTGGCCAAGGAGGCGGCCGGGTGAAGCAGGCAGGGCAGAGGCGTTGACACCACCAAGGACGTCAGAGGCGTCATTGTTGGCCTGTGGGGTGGACGCGCCTGTGGGAGACCACATCGCTTCTCTTTGAGTGCTTGTGAAATGTGTGGGCCTGTGAAGGTCCTGTGGGCTGCGTGCGGGAAGCACTTGGCCGCTGCGTTGCTGTGGAGCGTGTTGGTGGATGGGTGGATGACATGGGTGCGAATATCTGTGTCGCCCAGCGTGATGGATTGTCGAAGGACGCAGCCGTGAGCTTGGTTGGGGTCGCATAGAAGAAGCGAGGCCGCGAAGCGCATGAGCTATGAAGGCGAGCTGGGAGCGGCTCGAGGCACCCAGGTGAAGGAAACTTTTGTATCACTGTTTTAAGCAGGGATTTGGGGCTTTCAGCTCCTGGCTCGAACTGCAGGCTTGTTCCTTGTGCCCTGCACGGTAATAGCAATGTAGAGCTGTCAGCAAGAGATTATAGTGCGGAACACTTAGCACTTTCCTAACAGGTGTCGAGCCAAGCATAGAACTCGCTAGTGCAGTTGTGCCCCGGACTGCCAAATGTGCCCTTCGTCCGTTGTGGTGGCCGATGTAGCCAATGAAAGCGAGGATAGAGAGCCATGGACAACGGAACATTTTGCGCCAGAAGCCCATCAATCCAACAGGCCGGCCACTTTTTCGTTTTGGATTCTTCCGCAACAGCGACTCGTATCCTCTAATCGCGGTTACGATTATCAATCAGTCGGACTATAGTTGGGCTGTCTGTCTGGCTGTCGTTCCCCTGTAACGTTATTGGCTTCCGAGTCCGAGCAGGCAAACAAAGCTTCTATGTGTCCGTCGGCAATCTGATGGCAGTTGCTGACGCATCTGAAAATCATTTTTTGTTTTGCGTTTGGGGTTGTCCCACCATTACTTTGATGGTGATGAGCCTGCGCCAGGCGGGGGAGGTTAGGGGAGTGTGGGAATATTCCTTGATTGCACCACCGGCCGCCGCTTGCTGGTTGTGGCTGTGGCTGGCTGCCCTCAAAGTGCATAGCCATCAGGAGCCATCTAGTTTCTGCAATTTGTAAAGACAAGATTAGACGTTTCTTACGCGTATGCCTCCCTGCATTATCTGAGATCTGAGTTAACCCGTTCGCCTACCATCGGGCAAAGGGATTGGTTCATTTGCGCAACCCCACGATGCTGATATAACTCAAAAAGCCCTCCCGAAGCCATAGCCGGAATGATGCCAGCTTTGCTTCCTGTCTATTACTTGGTGTTCTTTTTGGGCGAGGCCCCGGGCGCGAAGCGCCTTTCGGGGGGCCGAGCCCCCCATGGCCATAGGTTCACTGCAGTCAGTCAGTCATGGTGTAACATTTTATCTTACTTCACCCCGATTAAAATTGCGTCTGAAATCTATTCTGATTCTTTATCGATGGACCAATGGAATTAATTCAGATAAATTTGTGGGCGAAGTTAGCTTCCTAACATATTAACTTTCATATCTTACCCCGCTTTAAACTGCGTCTGAAAGCTATCCTAATTCTCTATTGATAGACCAAGGAAATGAATTCAGATATATCTGTCGGCGAAGATAGCTTTCCAGGGTGAGATCTTTATCGATTGGCCAAAGGAGAATATCAGACAAATCGGAGCGCGAAGATAGCTTTCCACGGCTTCGAGTTTGACTTCCCCTCACGCCGCAGCCCTTGCCTCTGACGTCGTTGCATGTCCCTTACATTATAGATTTCATAAGCAAATGGCATGATCCTTTATGGGTTGGTTCCTTCATGCTCGGCAACTTTAGACCATCCCATGGCAACGCTACAAGCACCTCCCTCCTGGCATCTCGCTCGTGCCTGTTTGATTGTTGTCCTTCTTATTCTCTTCTTCATTCATTCAATTCCAGTACAAACGAAGTGTGCCTTTGCGACACACCATCAGCTTTGCCGCTGCATTCCGACTTCAAAATATGCAAATGGAAAGATTCCCGAATGCGTTCTGGCTGGGAGCGGACAACAATTGGTCCATGAAGCACTGGCACTTTGGCGCGCCTTGAACTGCCAGCCAGCAGACCGAAGGGCCGGCGTCGAACATGGATGCAACGGTAGTACCACCTACGTATCGAAGCCAAGCGTTCGGAGCTACATGTGTACTGGAGCATACTATGACGCCAGGCTTCCATTTTTAGCGTAGTAAGGGCGGCGTAACTGGCTCATATGCATCACCAGTCGTAACCACCATCCGCAAAGTAAGCCTTCATAAGCTTATAAGTTAGATCTAGCAAGCGGGTTTCCGGACGGTGCGGCAAGCGGCAAGCCTAACGAGCATGGAGGGCATCCATTTTCCGGATGACTTTCATGCACAGTCTTATATAATACATATTTCCTAAAAGAGCTTCTTTGCAGGATGCCGCGCCCGCCATTCGCAACTGTGATGGCAGGCTGCGCTCGCGATCGCCGCATAGCTCAGCTGACTGTCCTTTTTGGCGCCCCTCGAGACGCACCGAAGGATGGCGGTGCTACCAAGAAACTGCATGCATAAATAAGATAAGCCACGGGCAATGCAGCATTGCGAACACACGTCACCAACGTGCAGCAGCATCGCTACCGGGCTTTCCATGACGACATGCGCCGCACAGTAGTGCACCCCTGACCTCACCGGCCTTTGTAGTGAGCACGCAAGAGTGCACATGCTATCACGAACCAAAGACTGCTCAGAGTCGAAGACCATGTCCTGTCGAGGACACGGTCCTGCTACGGTGCCCGCCGCCGCGTACATGCACGTTATTTACCGTTGCATGTTGATTAAGTGCTCGTCCTGTAGTGTAGTACGGCAAGTGCGGCGCGGGAGGAGCAGACCGGAATTGGCCAGAGGACAGTGACTGATACGGTAGTGCGTTACAAAGATTAGCTGGGAACAAAGCGCTGAATCCAGACAACGCTAGTTCGCCAGTCAACCGTGCAAGCAAGCGCAAGTCAGAACGTCGTCTGTTGGGGATTTTGAATTGTTTAAATAGTGACTTACTTTGTATTCGGGACCCAGCTCAATAGTAAAGTAGATAAGGCGATTTGACGTTGCTGGCATATCGGTCGCCAGTAACAGCGAAGTGATGGCAGAGCGCGAGCAATCGCGCGGCGGAGGCCAAGAAGGCTTGGAGGACATCCTCCAACAGCGGGACGAAGGAGGACACCAGAATGGCGGAGCACCTAGTTACCCGGAGGGGGCCGATGCGGTGAGTAACAGACGCCAGCTATTGCTCCGCGCGGTCAGACTGTAGGCACAGCCAGCCGCCGCAAGTTCTGTTATATCAAAGGCATGGGAGAGACCGGACCCAGTTTTAAAATAGCG